GTGTGTGTGTGTGTGTGTTTAGTAGCACTGAAGATCAATCAACCAGAAAGAGATAGAATTAAGTCACAATTATTAAGTTTGTAGAGAGACCTTACAATGGAACTATTTACAAAACAAGACTTTGAAAAGGAACTCTCCCAACAGACCCATAACCAGGGCCAACACCACTAGGAACAGGGATGGGAGGAATTATAAGAAGTGAGCAGGTCAATCATGGGGATTAAGAGGATTACAGCACAGCCAGGCCAGAATTCCCTTTCAGGGCAGCTATCCTTGGCATTTGCCTCCAAGATGATAGAGGAACAAAATGCATGTCTGTCCCTGGATATCAGAGAGGACCAGAGAAAGCATGGATATTAGAGAGGGTAATTCCAAAGTACTCACGAAGTGACAAGAAATGAGATGGGAAAAGGCACAAAATGAAGAGTGAATAAAAAATAAATTAAAACAAAATAAAAGAAGAGAAATTTTCATTCACATTCCTATCTTAAACACACAAGACATTAATGCATTGGCTAAATTTTGAGGAGTTACAGTAAATAAAAGAGTCTGTCATAAGAATGAAAAAGCAGATTAGTGAAGAAAAGGGTATACTTACATAATGTATACTTATATCAGGTATATGGTATATGTTATGTATATGACATATATAATGTATATTTTTGTATAATATATCATATACACATACATACGTACATATATAATCATAAATGAAGGTAGTTCAAAGCCATGTTAAAATTTTGTTGGAACAAAACCCGCGGGGATTACAATTGAGATGAAAAAAAAAATGTACAAAATGATGTAAAAATAAACTAAAAAAAAAAATGTTGGAACAACTAGATTTCAATCTGGAGAAGAAAATGTTCTACCCATTATACTAATATGTCACTGCGCCTTTAAGAAAAGCAATCTTCAGAGACTAGTGCCAAAAATTTTAAACAAAATATAAAAGTAATAAAAGGTTACAAAGGACATTTCAATAATGTTGACTTGAGGAAATGTCTTCTCAAACATATATACTCAAGAAATCATTCAGCAGAAAATTAGCAGATAAAAATTTCAAATTTAAAAGGTAAAACATAAAGTAGAATGAACTAGAAGAAAACGTTTGCAAGATAAATAACATGATTTTAATACTAATGCAATGGGATCCTAAAAGGCAACGTAAAAAAGGCAAACTAATCAAAACAAAAAAATGGACAAATACATGAACTATGCTTTACATAAGAAATACAAAAGTTATTATAGATAAGAAAAAATGCTCATTTGAAGCATCCGTTGTTTTGGCCTTATTTGATTGTGGGGAAATATAATGTTGAATAAATTTTGGAAGCAAAATCAAACAAGCGAACCAACTGTGTCCATCTAAACAATGGCAAAGCTAGGACAATAAGAACGTTCTTCTTTGGAATTTGAATCTGAATTTTTATCTTCAGATAGATAAAAAATGAGCTGTTAATTCATTCATAAGTGGTGACCTGCAAAAATAATAGTGTACAGGACAAATGGTTGGCTATGAATTGCAGGGTTTATTGCAGATTTAATTGAGAGGTTACCCCACTTGTAGCATATTAATATGTCCTATGACACATATTACAGACCAAATTAAAGATTCACGATGATGCCTGCACATAATAAACTGAAGAGATTTTATGAGATTCAAATGTCTAGATCCACTCTCAAATATTGTGAATATGGCTATATTCTCCACTCCTTCAGTATATACCAATGTCCTTGGAGGAATTTAGCCATCCTCATTTTTTAGGGAAGACTGATTTACCAATGCTCCTCCATGACATATCCAAAGTAGCTCAGAAAGACTTCTGTACAAATATATAATGGGAAATTTGAGGATAGGAAAGATAGAATGTGATGAGTGAGCAGTATTTTAGACAATAAAATGTTCTGTCTGCCTTTTTGAAGAGAGTGATATCCAGAGCTTAAGGAACACCAATTCAACAGTACTCTCAATAACAGGTCTCACACAAGAAACAGAAAACACAGGATGGAAATTTAGTGATGAAAAAACTATTAAGATAAGTGAGTTTCCTGGAATGGGCCTATAGTTGGGGCTATAAAAGTCCCTTTTGAATGCCAGTCAGCATTTTTTTAAAATTACGCCCAGTGAGTATTCAAAATCCTCATGTTTACATTAGAAGGGGTGGAGGTTATGGAATAGATAAACATTAATTTATCTTCAACAAGAAGGATAATTACTGACTCTGGAATAGTCAATTGTCATCAAAGGAACCAATTAGTGCATTCCAATATGTTACTGTACCTCAAGGGAACAGAAGCCAGTGTCTTAGAGGTAGTCTAAATTTACTGGGCCCATTCCATAATGCAACTACAGCCATTTATACTAACGCTACTAGACATTTGTTTTAGCAATTGAATTTATTTTTCCTTCCCATTATGCCTTTCAATGATCATAGCAATCGACCTACTGAATGTTTTGTGTACTATTGCAGTGTCTCAAATATGGCTTTCTCCTTTCAAGGATTCATCTCACAGAGGAGAAAGAAAAACAGCGAGTTGATGACCTCTGAGACTTAAAGGACTTCTCATATATATTATCAAAGAGAAGCAAGCAGTCAGTAGCACTTGGGAACATTTTACTGAAAATTTAGTCACTGATTCAGAGCAAGCACTTACATGATGTACCAACAAACAGCTGTAGCCCATGCCCTGAATTTTATGGTACTGCTTCACACAATTCACTAAGCACGGTCTGGAAATACTGTGATGGTTAATTTTATGTGTCAATTTGGCCACAAGGCACCTAGATAGCTTACCAGAAATTATTATTACTGTTTATTTTTTGTTCTTTTTACATGACTGTATAATGCAGGTTGTCTTATATAATGGAAGTGGGCCTTATGTAATTATCTGAGGGACTGAATAAAACAAAGGGCTAACCCTACCCCAAGAAATTGAATTCCCCAATCGGAGAGCCATAGTGAAATACTTACTCTTCTGGTATACAATAATTTTCCAGCCTTTGCAAACAGGAGAAATCAGCCTCCATTAACATGTGAGTTAATTTATTATAATAAATACTTCTCCATATATGTTACTGGCTTTATCTGAAGAATACTGAGTAATATATTTATTTATAAATAGTTTGCCTTCCATTCTCTTTTAAAATCTTATGATTTAATGTTTTAACAACAAACACATAGGAATTCTACTATATAAGATGATAAAGTTTTCATTGAATTAGAGGCTGAAACTGACACCTAGACATTTTTGATAGCAGCAGATAAAAAGATGAAGATATCTTGTTATTTGGTATAACTGACTATGATTTCCAAGGAGAAACATATTCTCCACTATATAAAGGGAAAGGAGGAAAAATAGGATCTCTAATTGCATCATCAGTTACATGAGGTAACAAAACCCTAGAAACATATACCACCCCTTTTATGGAGATCATGGATAGGTAATTGTGGTGGGAGTCGGGGCTCACTCTCTCTGCCTTTACTTGGTGATGTGACTTAATGAAAGCTATTATCCAGAATATGGAATGTAACTTTAGCAAAGGGAAAGAAACTGGAAAATCTACTTCCCACCAACAATTTATTATTAGAGAAAATTGCATGACCACTCTTCATACATATGGTGAAAATAACTGAAATACAAATCAAGTGCCTAGAATAAGGCCTAAAAATATTTGATAAACATTAGTAATGTCATGTGCTGTCACATCTATCAGTCAAGGAAAGTATGATTTTCTTAAGTAAGCCAAACCCAAACAATGTCACTAATGTCTCAGACCTATTGGGAGAAAATATTTGAACCACTACACTGGCAAACATTTCCAAGCAGCCAACATACAGGGAGAAGAAATATTATATGTTTCAGCTACAACCTTCAAGCAGTTGCAAAACCAGGACAATAGACATTACACATATTTTACTTTTATATTATTAAAATTACCATTTAATCAAATCCATATTACAGCTAAATTATAATTTTCTCCTTGGGTTTCTATATATTGAGACCAAATGGATTAAAAAAAAAAAAAGGAGAAATCAGTTACATCCAGAGATATGTTTAGAGAGGACTTGAGACTGGATAGATTACCCTGGGTTGTCTACATTTTACTAGGTTTTTCTGGAAACGTGTTTAGTACTAACAATATGTTGACTGGAATATCTATTTTCCAACTATATGTTCAGAAAAGGAGAGATGCTCACTCAATGGACTACGATGAAAACCAAGTGTTGATTTCCTTCATGAATTCACCTCCCATCCACAGGTTGGTTAGAGAACCCCACTGGCCTCAATGACACAAGCAACTAACATATAAACTTGACAGGACTAGGACTGTCCATCAAGTTCCCCTCCCTCACAAAACCAAGGTAATGTTTATTCTCTTTTTAATTGAGAGAAAAAAATTAGTAGAAAAAGATGACATTAATTAATTAATTAATTAATCAGAACACATGCATGGTGCTTTACTTTAGTACATACTTGTGATGTGTTGAAATCACACAAAAATTATATAAAACACATACAAAACTTATAAAAATCATATAAAATTATGATATGACTTCTTCATTATTAAAAATAAATTATCTTGTATAAGTGATATTAATCAGAACTTTAAGTGGTAAATTAAATGTTGTCTACTATTTGTTAGCTAGCTTTTCTTTTGCTCTGCAGTAGATATGTATCCTATATTTCACAAGCAAAGAAAAGTAAAATAATAGTTCTCTAAATAAATGAAGTTTAAAAACCCCAGGCTATGTGGTTATTATTAGTATTAATACTAGTATTAGGACTGCTTCACAAAATTGAGAATGGAGGAAATGCTTGAAAAGGCTATTTAGAAAAATAGCATCTGCTCTGCCTTAACTTATGTAGCTGATACTTGATACTTTTACTTTATACTATATGATTGCTATTTTCAAATAAAAGTATTTCTATGTTATGGTGCTTATTTAGTTCATTAGTAGGAAATGAGTTAATGACAATGATACTATCGTTGGACTTACCCTGGCATTGGTCCACTTCCAGCAAGGCTGTAAACCTGACGAGGATTTAGTAGATATTGGAATTTTCTGTAAATTCTATAAATAAGAAAATAAGAGAAAAAAGTAATTTAGTGTTACTCTCAAATTTCAAAATAAACATTACCCCTTAACAGTACTGTAATTATTTATGTCTGTAATTAAGCAATATTAGTAGTAGCTCACTAGAAATGAGTGGGTCTTAAAAAATAAAAATAAAGAGGCTAAAAAAAAAAAAACAACAAATCCTAGAAATCTTACTCTAAAATTTAGGTGTCCAGGTATCACTGGACAGAGAGAGAAGAGGTGAGAAGAGCAAAAGGAAAAGGAGAGACAATGGATATGGTAGAAAATTATTGGTCTTTTTTAGATGGTTGGTGTGGTATGATAACATATACCTAAAGAGGTATGATTCTATACTTCTGAATTAACAGTTTATAAACAAATGCTATCTGCATAATAAAAAAAATTATCTATGTAAGCATACATTTGAATAAGTGAGCAGTTACTCCTAAAACATACACAGTGATATAAATCAATGTTACCACAATAAAAAAGAATTCACTAGAAAAAGATAATAGCTATCTACCTTAGATAGGTAACAAAGCTTATAAATAAGAGATAATGATATGCACACCTAACTTGTATATGAATTTAGAATATTCTCTATCTTGCTTATGATTGTTAGAGAAAAGATTACAAATAAATATTTTAAAACATCAGTATGAATTACATAAATATCTTTTTCTTAATAGATGAAAGCTATAAAATGCATAGATTTTATATCAGACTAAGAGAGATGAAAATTATCCCATGCAGAGTGGGATTTTGCACTTTGTATAAGTAAGTTTGGAAGCAAAGAAAATGACCTCTGTAGTATCACCCTTCATCAGCCTCATAACTTCAGATAAATAATAATACTGATTTTCCAGCAAGCTGGAAGCACACAAAACTGCTAAACTGTTCCATAAGCACATATGAAATAACTCATTTTTCCTGAAATAAATAATCTTCATATAACAAATGCAACAGGTGAGATTCTAAGTACACATCTATAGCATACATAGCTGAAATTTATAGAAAAAATATTAAGTGATAGGATAGTTTTTCAAATTAGTTCTTATTACTCTATATATTTTATAAAAACATTCACACTATGTTCACTGATAGGACTAGGTATGTTATAAATTCACTGTGTAATATTTGCTTATAACACCCCCCACTTTCTAATTCTCAATAACCCTTATAGTCTGATAATGATTAATTATATTAAGTTCTGTTTGAAGAAGGGTCTTAGAGAGTCATTCTCAATAGTACCCTTTCTCTGGCATTTGAACCCTATTAGTGGTAAAGTTCATCAGAGCTGGCTATTCTATCACATGGCTTCACTGTTCTCTCAACAGTTCTATAAAATTCTTATCTACCCACCTCTATATTCTGCCTTTGAAGTACAACCGTATTTTTACTATATTGAAAAGTTCCCACTAATATGCTGCTTATAGTATAAAATATTATATCTAAACTTGTTTATCTGTCATCGTTCCTCTTCTTCCCTTTCAACTGTAATATCACTAAATATCTCCTGGTTGCCAGATAGATACGACATCCCTTTACAAATTATCTTTCTTCTTTCATCTGTAAACAAGTACTTTCTGGGTGTTCCTTCTGGGATGGCCAAGGGACATCCAGACACTTCAACTCTGGAGGTCATCTGCAAACAACTACTTAGAATCTACTTAAAAATGACTTCTGACCCTCCCTGGTGGCGCAGCAGGTTAAAGCGCAGCCCTGCAACAAGCCACAGCTGCTTCATTGCGAGTTCGATCTCCAGCCCCAGAGGTAACCCACATGGTGCAGCATACCTCTCCTGGATAGCATGCTGCTCCCCTCAGCAGTGTATTTCAGCAATCTGCCTGTTTGGCTCCCCACTCTGTCTCTGGTGAATCCTCTCACTGCCCCTGCACATCTAGTCTGTACCCCAGTTCTGTATACATAAATAAACTAATCTTAAAAAAAAAAAAA